TGACTTGGAATACTTCGAGTGAAATGTTCCAATAAGTTCAAGCAGCTATGTAACTCTCTTGGCCAAATATCTTTCAGAAATGTAGGAGCTAAATGTCAAGTATTTTAGCAACGTTCAAGTCTGTGCAGAGACAAAAAAACAAGTCACATAGATCTATAGATAACAATGTTATGAAGAAATCTAACAAACTATCATACTGCCCCAAAGAAATGATAAAGTACATTATTTAACATGTAATAAAGGTGCAGTGAAGCATTTATTTACTCACAGGCAGCGTGTGGAGTTTCAAACTTTCCCACACTGTGGTGTTGGCTATGCTGGTGCAGTTATTGCCAGGAAGGAAGTGCTGCAAGAAATTTAAAGTTAAAACAGTAAATGAGATATAACAGAGTAAAGAGGCCCATTTAGTTAATCTACAAAAGATCAATAATTATTTAGCCATAAACTGTTTTGTTTTGAATGAATTTATAGCTAAACGCTATTCTGTGCCAAAGTCTTGAGTCACCCCTAATTTCTTTTTATTTTGTTAGGAATATAGGAAATAATTGCAGTGATTTACTGAAACAGATGCAAACGTGCTTTGAAATACATTATATAGGGCATATGTTGAGATCTGGGAGAGTTCTGGGGAGGCTGATACTGTTTCTACACTGAACAAAAATATAAACACAACACTTTTGTTTTTGCTCCCATTTTTCATGAGCTGAACTTAAAGATCTGAAACCTTTTCCACAGACACAAAGGACCCATTACTATCAAATACTGTTCACAAATCTGTCTAAATCTGTGTTAGTGAGAACTTCTCGTTTGTCGAGATAATCCGTCCCACCTCACAGGTGTCAAGGTGCTGATTAGACAGCACGAATACTGCACAGGTGTGCCTTAGACTGCCCACAATAACAGGCCACTCTGAAATATGCAGAAAAAAGTAGATTGGTGGATTTTTTCTCTAAGGACATTACTTTCAGATGATGGTCATCTGCTGGTGTCCAGTGTGTCCTTAAAAAAGGTAACACTCATTATAATGAGATATAGCAGGTTTTCAGCTCTTTGGCAATAACCTTGTTGATACAAAAACACAATTTTTATGTCTGTCAGACTGAGTTATCTTTCACATTTTTAATAGATTCAACTAAAGAAATGGGAACAAATGTGTTTATTACGACCAGCTGCTAGTAGAAAACAGAAAACTTCCTCTAAAAGTAAAACGACTGGACTGAAAATGAATGAAAAAGCACCCGATGTCCAACTTTGAAAGAACTTCAGGAAGCCTGGAGAACTGTTGGTCAAGAGCACTTTAAAAAAATAAAAATAAATAAAAATGAAACAAAAAGAGAGTTGTTTTTTACTCTGAGACGTTACTGGCAGAACGACCGATGAAGGAACTTACAAGGTTGAGCATGGCCATCAGCAGAGTGATGAGCACACAGATAATGATCACAAACAACCGCAGCACAGCCCTGGTGGCGACGCCGCGGGATAGCCCAGATATCCACTGGACACCCACCGGCATCTTGGAACGCCATTTCTGTGAAACAATAAAAAAAATGCTATCTTAATAAAGCTATTTGCAGCGATTTTAGTTGCTTTAACTGTGCATAAACAAGTGTCTGCATATTGAGACGTTTGCACTTTTCATCCAAACTGTGAAGCACTATTTAATTAAATGAAACTGAATTTAAATCGCTGCTCTTTTCAGAGTTAAAGTGAGATGATAACGTTGATAACACTCGGTAAAAGTGAAGGGGTACTCTTGTGCAGAAACGGACTGAGGAGATGGACAGAGGCGTGTTAAATGTGTCTCAGCGAGAGTTGGTATAAGATTGGGGTGTGCATGGTTTGGTTTTCATTGTTTTCTTTGCTTTTGTCTTGTGTTAAAAATAAAAAATGCAGGACTAAATGTGCAAAAGCTCCTGTGTGTTCCTCTGGAGCCGTCAGTCAACCCTGAACCTGGACCGTTCACACCGCAGGTGCACGTACGCGTGTTTTCTCTTCATTTGAAGAACCACTGACACTGAAACCTGGACTGTCGATAAAAGGCGGATCACCTGTTGATATGTATTAAACACAGCCCGCCTGGGTTTGTTTACCTCCAAGTATCCAGTGAAAGCAATGAACAAGAACACCACCATCACTGCAAAGGTCACACCGTAGGACACCGCCATCACGAAGTTCCTGTAGAAGAGTGAAAATTCATAGTTCACACCACTTTCTCCCCAAATAATAAAAGACGTGTGCGCTTGTGAGACGGCAAGCAGGAAACAGTATTACTCACGTCTTAGAGACCAGCATCTGGACGGTGAAAAGAGCGACGAAAATTAAACCTAAGCAGCTCATTGAGTGGTGCAAACCTTCCACTTCTGAAAAGCGGAACTAAAAACAAACAAACAAAAAAATAGTGTAAATGGCTTAAAAATGCTCAATAGAACCTTAAAGGCGCTTAAAAGTCCAGTAATCTCATCTTTGACCTGAATGAATCTACCTGTTTCTCTAAGTTGATATCGTTGAACAGCAGAGTCAAACAGTTGAGCTTCTTTGCTCTCTTCCTGAGTGAAAGATTGGAAAACAATCAGAGGACGAATCACAGAAGCCAGAAATATTCAACTAATCAAGTTTCTTAAGTTAATTTTAATGACTAACAGTCACGCAGTCTTATGAAAAGCTACATACACCCCCACGGCGTCCACAGGAGTTAAGAGGGTACGGTTGGAGTCAGGCACTGTTAATGTCAAATGTCCTTAATTAACTGAACATCAGCAGGTGTCAGAGCACCTAATTTGCTGCTCTGGAGCAGTCAGGTGTTTGTTAACACAATGACATGACCTGACAGCAAATTCACCCCCGAGGTCAGACTGTGCTATGTTCAGAGAAACTGCACAAAGCTCAGACTCTACAGGCCTCAGCTGGCATGTTAAATGTTAAAGTTCATGACAGCACAGTTAGAAAAAGATTGAACATGTATGGAAGGCCTCTTCTCTCAAAAATGAACAGGTTAGGTTTACAAAGCTGCAGCCAAACACAGACTATCAGCTGTGAAGCACGGTGGTGGAGGGGTCATGATTTGGGCTTGTTTTACAACCACAGGGCAACTTGTGCTCGCTGAGTCGACCGTGAACTCCTCTGTTTGCCAAAGTGTTCTAGAGTCAAATTTGAGGCCATCTATCAGTCACCTAAAGCCTGGCTGAAACTGGTTGATGCAACACAACACTGGTCCCAAGCAAAGTCCAGACCTCAACCTGAAACAAATGCTTGACTGTGCATAAATAAATCCTCACTGCCAAGAACAGTGGACCAAAAAAGTTCTACGAGCGACTGAATCGTGGGGTGTGCTGAGTTTTTCAGAGGACTGTTAAAACCGTTTTAACTCTACAGGAGCACAAAAACAATAAATCTTACCTTTTAATGTCCAGCGTGTCCAGCGATCCCCTAACACTGTTATCAATGACCAAACTGGGAAAGAAAGAGGAACATGTTAGACACATCCAGGGATTAAAGGATGGATGTTATTGTTCTATTTATTTCTATTAAACTTGAATAAACAACTAATGCTTTTTTGCATGACTTCTCTAGTGATCTTTGGTGATCTTTTACTAACCAGTCATCTTGTGAAACCGGGCGTTCCTGAATCAATCACACAAACAAACAAAGATAAACACAATGGAGTTAATAATGAAACGCTGATTAGAGGCCAAGCAAAGGAGGTGATGTGACACGCTGCATTTCTGAGGGAGAAACTAAGCAGCAACAGCACAAATGCACAGATACGTACGGTGGTTGACTTCTTGGGCCGTCTGGCCTCGGGGTTGCTTAGGCCTTCGAAGGGATTGACGCTCTTCCAGGACTGGAGGTACTGAGACATCCGCAGTGACGCTCGCTGCCTGTTCTCCCCTGGAGTAAGATGGCTGGGCTGAAATTGGGGCAAATATTACAGCTTAACATGATTTGAACTGTGATTCATTTTCCTAACAGATACAATACACGCAACAGAGGGTTTCCAGAGGGTTTCCAGAGGGGACACCACTATCATCTTCCTAACAGCTTTTAATCTAACAGCTTCCCTTTTTACACGTAACGGTTTACATTGTGGTTGCTGTTGTGAAATTACATATTACAGCAACGTGTTGATTCCTTAAGCTGGGCACAAACACGGCTGAAATTCCTAACATGGAATGAGGCACAACATGTTTGATCTTCTGGCACGGCACTAGAGCGAGAAAACACTCGAAAGATTCAATCTGGCACCTTCTGCCTTTTAAAGACGTGTCACAAGTTTGTTTAGTCGCGGGTCAAGTGAGCGGGAACAGTGAAGGGTATTTTCACGAGTAAACTTGGAGTCCTTTTGAGATGATTTCCCCGCAGTTGTAAAGAAATTCACAAGAAGACAAACACGTGTTTTATTTGAAGTCAGAGGTTGGGATTTCCAAGGTTCGAGGAAATGAAAGGTGTTTCAGCTTGATTGGCTGCAGTATTTTTAACAGGAAAATTTAATGTGGGTATTAATAAGGTTACCAGGGATCAAAAATACTACAAAAATTTGACCGATAAAATAAAAACATAACACACTGTAAACTGAAAACCAAAGTATAAGAAAAAAACAAACAGCTTCTGTGAATATCTGTATTTACCACATAGTTTATAAACTTGGAAAGGAGTAGGATGAAGTTCACATTTGTTTGATATAAATACCTGACCCGTGCCTCACAGACGGGCAGACACCTACCAGTCCGTGCCTCCTGGGAGGACGGTGTGGCTTCTTGGGGTCGATCACCAGGTATGTTTTTCTGCCCTTCAGAAGATGGTCCCGACTCCCCCCGTCCCCATCCTCAACTTCGTACGCTCCGTCCAAGTGTTGGAGCGTCTCCTCTGTGATGTGGACTCGCCTATAGATGAACAGTAGAAATAATAAAATACACACAGCTCAGAGTTTCATTATGTTTAAACTGACTTTAAGCGTCTCTCACCCAGGGAGACCTCCGGACTCCATGTGGTTGGCTAAGGTGACGTCATCTGACCACACGTCGTACTGCCACTTCTGCAAGCCAATTACGCCGCAGAGCACGTTGCCCGTGTGAACGCCTACTCGCATGTTGATCTGCACCCCGGTTGCCTCTCGCAGGTTACTACAGGTAGACAAAGGCATGAATCAAATCAGTAAAGTTCAGCCCTGATCATTTCTGGCCTTGTTTCGTCCACAGTGCTAAGAAGACAAGAAAAAGTACCAAAAGACAAATAAAACAATATATATAAGTGTATATATATATAT